CAGGTGACACTTTTGATCTTGTTGGTTTCGCAGATGCGAATTTTGCTGGTTATCAAGTTGACAGAAAGAGTACTTCTGGGATGACTCATTTCTTTGGATCTTCACTTATCTCATGGGGAACTAAGAAACAGAATTCAGTAGCTCTTTCAACAGCCGAAGCCGAATATGTAGCAGCTGCTGCATGTTGTTCACAATTGTTATGGATCAAGCAGCACTTAGAGGAATTTGGTGTAATCATCAAGGCTATACCTTTTATGTGTTACAATACTAGTGCATTCAGTATGGGAAAGAATCCTTTTTAACACAAGAGAACCAAGCACATTGATGTTAGACATCATTTTCTGAGAGACAATGTTGAAAAAGAAAATATTGTGCTTACATATTGTCCAACGGAGAAACAAATTGCAGATATCTTAACAAAGGCTCTTAGAAAATATCAATTTGAGAGCAATGGTTGAATTTAGGCATGATGACTTTAAACTGATTTCTAGACATTCAATCGTTGAATTTCCTTGATGGCTAAACTTGCAGTGCAGCTATCCTCTGTGTCAATAATATATTATCTAAGTTAGATCGATTTTGTACCTATTGCATGTATACATTCATGAAGGACTAGCAAAGAAAAGACATGGCTAGAACAGTTGAGGAATGATGATAAAGTTGCGTTATTGGACCTTGTTCTAGTCGAGATTAGCATTTGTACATTAATTTCAAATTGAGATAAAGTGACCGTTTATCAAGACACATGTCAGTCATCGGTTATTCTGACCGTTAGTCCCATCGCTTACTTTCCAAGCGACGCGTTAAATCAATAGGGACCTGTAACCGTTTCAGTTCTTTTTAAACTCTTCTTCTCTCCTTTTTAATCCTTAATTCTCTTTGCAATATTCCTTCACTCTGAAAAAAAGAGGCTAAATTTGATTTTATCTCTACATTTTCAATCTTCAATACTGCTACTCTTTTCTTCTTCTTGAGAAAATGTCTAATCCTTCTCTGCCTCTAAGAAAATTCTTACAACCCTTAGTGATATTGAACCAATTGCTTTCTATTCTCCTTCATTCATAGGGTCAAGATCTAATCTTCCACCAAGTTCTTCCCCTGATATTCCCAAAAACCCTTTTAACTCTATAGATCTTAACAGTTCAAGTGTTCCTACTGGACCTGGTCCTCATCATGAAATGCTTTCATATGCTCTTTTCGAAGGATATTTCCCAAGGAACAAATCTTCTGAGACAAACATTCTTGCTGCAAGTGAAGAGTTGGTGATTGAGAGTCTAGATATGATGGGAGAGGAAGTCAGGGTTGAGGAAAGTGAACCTTTTCAAGGTAAAGATATCAGAGAGACCCAACCTATCTTTAATAAAACTCTAGATTTTAGGAGATATCCATCTCCTGATTCCTCTGACTCAGCAAGTGATGAACAATCCATACAGTGAAAGGTTGAAAGGAGACATATAAGTGCATCTAAAAAGGGAAAAGATATAGTGGTGGACAAAGTGTCTAAAAGAAGACCTACTACTAGATCTGATGCCAAAAATATGATGTTTGATGCTCTGAAAGCCAGTGCTAAGTCTACAGCAGAAAACAGGAGTGCTAGAACTTTCAAAGTGTCAAATTTTAAAATGCCTGAGTTTGGTGTAATAGATGTTTCTACTGAAGAGACAGAAAAAGGATACAAAAAAAAGAAATTAGGAAAGACAAAACCAAGAGATACCAAGAAAGATGAGCAAAAAAAATCCACAAAGGAGACTTCTAAAGAAAAGAGGAAAAGGTCACAGGGATCTGGTACACAAAGAAAAATTGAAGAGTAGGTTAACAAACAAGAAGTTGTTGACAATCTGAGAAAGCAGTCTGTACTGGCTGGCAGAGTTTTTGACATGGGGATTATTAATCTTCCTTGAATGGACTCACTTCATGACATGGTTAAGATTCAGTCTTGGATGCATCTCTGCAACAAAAAATCTCTCATTCTTCATGAAGAGGAAGTGTGTGAATTTTACGATAATATTCAATTTTAGGAAGATGGAAGGGTCAATACCAGAGTGAATGACATTGGAGTTTACCTTGATGAAATTCTATTGGGGAATATTCTTAGGGTACCTCGAGATGGTACCAGGTATGTGGTAGGGAAAACATGTTCTGTTTAATTTGTGAGACTTTGTTTGAAGCTTCCTACTACAAAATGTGCAGAATTGTTTAATACATTGATGAAAAGTGAGTAACAGTTAGTCGTTCAATTTTTCATCAAAACTCTACTTCCTCGAACTGAAAAGAGGACCTCAGCAACTTTTGCTGATTTTTATGTGATGGAATTATTTTGCAAGTTTGAAACTCTGAATCTTCCAGGAATTATGCATGAACATATGTATAACACTGTAATTGAGCGGAAATAAATACATGGGATGAGATATGGATACTTTCTCACTTAAGTATTCAAATACTTTAACATTCCGCTAAGTGTTGGCAAGGTTGGTACAGTGAAGTAAGCCTTTTCAGAGACTACTTTGGTTGAATATTAATGCATTGAAGGGAAAGGAAATCCCAAGAGAGAAATGGCTCAACTCATTGAAGACCAGGACAAACTCAAGCATGAAGTTGAAGAACTAACTACGAGGCTGAGTAGCAAGGATGCTGAAATTGCTATTCTCAAAACCGAGCAGCTCACTGCACAGAAAGAGCGACCTAGTACCGCTATGGTTCAAGCCCTGGAAAGGGGAGATATAGAACTAAGGGCCATGGTTATTGCTTTACAAGAAAAATCAATAAAGGATAATGATGATGCTAATTCTAGACTCACTCTCATCATTCAGTCCCTTTCTCATCAGCCTCACCTTTCATAGTCCGTTCAAAACTCTTTTCGTGTCTTCCTTGTGTGGGTTATCTTTTCATCCTTGTATTTCATTTTGTTGTTAATGTAATGAATGTTAATCTTGCAATGCTATTTATATTATTCCCCTGGTGTTCTAGCTGATATTTCTTGTCGAATGCTTTCCTTAATGTTTGATTGCTATAAGGCTTTGATATTCTCTGATATTATTATTGATACTGTTGGTTTACTGTATCTCTTTTTTAATGATGCCAAAAGGGGGGATTTTAACTGGTTGTTGTGTCTAGACATGTTTGTGAGGGGGAATACAGTGAGGGGGAAGAGAACTTGTGCAGTGTATATTGTGTTTCTTTTGGTTTCGGTCTTATGCCAGGAGGGTGGACAAGTAATTCAAGGGGAACTTGTCATAAAGCTAGAGTGGTGTCTGGAGTATTGTTTTTCATCATCAAAGGGGGGGGGAATGTTATTTTTAGTTTTGATGATGCAAAAAACTCAGGGACCTTGTAAAGGTACCCGATTCTCAACTTGAACAGTTCGTTGACTGCCAGCTTGAGAAGGCACAGAAAGTTCGTACACAGTTCCCAACAGCATCAAAAAATTCAAACATTTCCAACCAGTGGCATGGGTTTCAGAAAAGGGACTTGTCTATTCAATGTCATCTTTCTAAACATGGCTCTTTAGTTTTTGCAACTTGAAAAAGTACATTCAAGAACTCTTGCAAAGGCTAAAGAAAATCAAAGAGAAGAATCATTCAATAACAACCTAAACTCAGGCGTATATTGTGTAGTTGTTTCACAATATATTCTTTTGGTCTTACATTGTAAACTGATCCTAAATCTATAAAGGAATCAACGTAGTTTGTGTTAAAATCTAAGTTGTCTAGAGTGATAGCTTAGTGGATAGAATAACTTCTGCTTAGGCTCATCAAGCAATAGAGTTATTGCTTGTTGGTGAGATTAAAAGCTTTTTCTCATGTTTGTGTAACTGGTTTTACTTTTGCTTGCGAAGATTAGTGAAACGGTTGTGAAAAGCCTGTGAGACAGGTCGTGGTTTTACTCTCTTGAGTAAGGAGTTTTTCTTGTAAAACTCCTCTGTCGTTAAACTACATTTACTTTCTGTTGTATCTTTGTTTGTGTGTCAAGGGACCTGGTCCATTGACTGATAGTAGACGCACAAATTCTAACAGCTGGTCTAGAACACCATCGACATTAACAAATTTCAATCTGTGGACTTAATTATCGAATAATAATAATTATAGATATTTTTGTACTTGTTCACGATTAATTTATCTCTCTTTAAATTTCTACTCATACTTTAAATAAACTTTAAGGTTTTATCTCTCTCACAAACACTTCATCTTCTGTTGAAATCCGAGTTTGTTAAGGTAAGTTTTCAGTAATTTCTTTTAATTTCTTCTTTATCATTTTAATTAAATACATTCTAACCTACATAAAATATTAAAAGTCCTGGATTTAATATTGTATGTTTATGTAATGTTGTTCATAATAATTTTTGGTTACACGATTATTTTGTATTCTTTTCTACAACTTGTGTTATTTTACCTCGATGCATTACTGGTTGTTTGATTGTTCGAGATTATGTTCTTCTAACATTGATTTTAGAAATTTTATCCTTTTTTTTTTACTTACATACACTTGTTAAATAGTTGTAACAAATAAATGAGTTTTGTAATCTCACAAGTGCAAGGCCAAAATGATGTAGACTTTGACACCATATATTGTACAAGTTTTACATTAATATATAAATTACACCATCCAGTCATAGTAATGTTCAACACAACATACAAAGTTAAGATTTTTTCTTGATTTTGTCTACTTACAGGGCTACAATATAATTTCTATAATGGTCACGGCTACATAAAAAATGGACAGTGTAGTCATGGTAGAAAAACAAGTTGTCTGCGTGGCATGAGGGTTATTATTTATATTAGAAAAACTAGTTGGATTATTAAAAAAAATAATAAAAGTATATAAACAACTTGATGAAAAATTAGTACTTTTCTTGCTATCTGACTTAAACAGAGTATGCTCAAAAGATACTGTCATTGAAAAAGTATAGATATTGAACAACGTAGAAAAATGTACTGCCATTGAACATATTGCGAAATTTTAAGCACTATAACTTGCAACTTTTTATAAGAACTCTAGGAAATTGAAGAATGTTAGGTACATTGAGTAGAAACTTTTGATTGCTAACTTAGACCGGGTCGTGAGAAAGCAAGTTCCTTCGAATTGATACCATTTGAATACATATGTTGCTGTATGATGTAATATTATATCCATTCAATTGTTGATTGTATTAGTCGGTCTGGGGCATCTTAAATATTTAAGAATGGCAACTGATTCAGTTTGTTTCTTCAACTCCAATGACTCTTTTTTCGGCAGAATTCATGTTGACTGATTCAATTGGTTCTTCAATTTGTAATCCATGGTGACTCTCCTTATAATTCACGTTCTCTTTGTTCATGTCAGAAACAACTTATACGCACCTCAAATATTTCTCCAAGTACTTGTTACCCCACACCAATACAAGTACATGTTAGCTCTACCCGATAAAACTTTAACAGTTAAAAAAAGAGCTATGAAAATAGGAAAATAACATTTCTCATTATCTTTGAATTATAGATCAAACAAAAAATTTGGGATAATACTCAATTACCCCCTAGCCTATACCAAAAATACCTGAGACACACCTTGCATTTGATAAGGTCCTATTACCTCCCAATTTTTTTAAAATTGTATACCATTTTCATACCTACGTGGCAATAGTAATCAGAAAGGTTAATCGGTCTATTCAACACACATTGGGCCCCACTTTTGTAGCTTTCTAAAGAGTTACTATCAGCTCAAAATGGACCTTTACACTTCCCAAAATTCCAAAAAGCTAGCCATTTACGTTTTCAATATTCACTTTACCAAAAACAAGAGAAAGGAACAAGCAAAGAAAGAAGGAAAGGTTAGATTGGTTTCAGGAAATCAACAAAGGTTAGAAATTTGATTTCAAACTGATAATTGATTTTTGATGTTGGATTTTGATAGTTAGTTTTCGTTTTAGTGGTGCATGTGCGGATCGATTTCAATCGTGGATGTGTGGGTCAATTTCATTCAGCAAGAATCGTGGTTGACTTGAGTTCAATGGTTAGTTTTTTATTCATTTATTTTGTTTTTTTGTTATTTTTATGATTAGATGTCGTAGGGTTTATGATATGATGTTAAATATTGGTTTCGATTTTGAGTGAAATGTAACTTTATGCTTATTTTTAGGGTTTATGTTATGGTTTTGTTAGATATCAAATTTTGTATTTTTAGGATTGATGTTATTAATATATTCATATTGTCACCTTTGTTGTTATGGGGTATGTAACTTGTTATTCATATATTTATATGAAAAGTGTTTTGAGTGTGGGTTGGTTGGGTGGTATTATATTTTTGTGAGTTATGTTGTTATAATATCAAACATGTAAAGAATAAAAAAACGAGTTGGGTGTTGTGTTGTGTTGTGTTATATTCTGGGTTACAGTAAAGTAACTTCATGTTAGGTGTTATGTTGTGTCTGTGTGGGTGTGAAGTTAAAGTTAAATAATATTATCCTATGAAAAAATATATATGTTGGGTGTTGTGTTGTGTTGTGTTTGTGTGGGGTCACATACCTAACTATAAGAAGACAAAAATATATCGTGTATTGTGTTGTTTATGTGGGGTATTATGTTATGTATATGTGGGGTTGGGTTATAACTACAGTAAAAAAAAATTGCTACTACTTGAATTGTTTTTATAACTATTTGGTTGTGTGTTTCTTTAGTCTATTATGGTATTCTATTAGCAACTTGTACTTAATTGTTGTTATGATTATGCATATAGGTATGGTGGGTTTACATTCATTACTTTAGAGTTGTATCATGGTGGGGCCTTATTGTATTAATGTGATAAAACAAGATATGTGGGTGGGTTAGTAAGTGAATATTATTATATTGATGTGGATACATATCATATTTTGAGATTAAAGACTACATTAAAGAACTAGGGTATATCCCAAATTGCAAATTTAGAGTCCGACCACCTAACAGTTGCATCTTAGGAGATATTGACAATGATGATATTCTCTTAGCAATGTGTAATTGTTTGCAAAATGGGTCTGTTTTGGAAATATATATACACAGGCCTGGTGAGGAATCTGGTGCAACTTTTATTAAAGTTTGGACCACTAAAGCTAGCGGATATAATGAAGTAGGTGAGGCTGCTTTTAATAGGGTAGACGTAACTACAAATATTACCTCAAATATTCCTTATACTTGAGATCCAACAGCTCCAAATAGTGATCCATCATATCTTGAAGATAGTGAATACTCTGTAAAAGGTTTTGATGAGTCAACAAAACAGAGTGATGATTCTGAAGATGGTGAACTACTTGAAGATGATCAATATGGAAGTGAAGTTCATCAAGAGTTAGTAAAACTGAGGGCTGACAAAAGATCTTTTCTGAGGAGGTGAAAAAGTAGGGAAAGACTTCCTGCAAATCTTGGGTTTGATGAGACTTCTATCAATAGATGTACTTTATAAGGAAGGTTGGGGGTTGATGAACCATATTATGCAACTTCGGATGCTTGTAGTTTTGAAACTGACACAGATGATGGTTGTCTAGAGAAAGGAGAAAAAAAGAAGTTGAAACTTCCTAACACAAAAAGGAAAAAACATCCACAGAGAGAGTCATATTTGATCCCAACATTAAGAAGATTGTGTGGCAATTGGGTATGGTTTTTGAAAGTGTTGAAGAGTTTTAGATTGGTAGTCACTAAGTATTCAATTCAGAGAGGGGTTCAGATTGAAAACTGTGTGAATGAGCCAAATACAGTAAGGGTAATATGTTGCAAGGTAAATTGCAAATGGTTGTTATATGAAAGTTTGGACAAGAAGACTAATAGCTTTGTTATTAAGACTTACATGCCAGTCCATTCATGTCAAAAGGCTAGTAGGAATTATTTGTGCAACTCTAAATTCATTGCTATTGTTTTTAAAAAGAAAATTATTGAACAACAAAATATCACTGTTCAAGTTGCAAGAGTTAATTCCTAAGAAGTATTATGTGCATATTGGTAAGACCAAAACTAGAAGATCAAGAGCTAAAACTTCGAATTAAATTATGGATGATCATGTTAATGAATTTGAGAGATTTCTTGATTATAAGGATGAATTGCTGAGGTCAAATCCTGGGAGTACTTGTATGGTGAAGCTAGGAGAAGCTAATGAATCTGGTAGGCATTTTACATCTGTTTTGCTGCACTCAAGATGGCATTCATGTCAGCTATAAAATTCATTGGTCTTGATGGTTGTTTCTTGAAGGGGGTATGCAGGATTCAATTGCTTATTGCAGTGGCCAAAGATGGCAATAATCAAATGTTTGAACTTGCTTGGGTTGTAGTTGAAAATGAGAACACAATCACTTGGAGGTTGTTTATTTCTCTATTGAAAGAAGACTTGGGAATAGGAGATGTAACAAGTTTCACCATTATGTCAGACATGCTAAAGGTAAACTTGTTTTTAATTATCTGTTGGTTTATCATTTTTTCAACTTAATTATCTAATGTTTGTTGTAACTTGTAGGTACTGGATATAGCTATAAAGGATTTGTTGCCAGCATGTAAGGAAAGAAGATGTACTAGGCATATACTAGAAAATTGGTCAAAGAATTGGAGAGGGCTGCAATGGAAGTAGCAGTTCTGAAAGTGTGCTAGAAGTACTTTTGAAGCTGAAATTTACTATAATAAAGAATATCGGTGCAAGGTGTATTTTAATTATGAAGTCAAGTCTGATGCAATAGATAATAATATGTATGAGAGCTTTAATGCTTGGATTTTGTCTGCAAGGCATAAAACCATTATTACTATGCTTGAAGATATCAAAATTAAGGTCATGACTAGGTTTTCTAGGTTAAGTGAATTTCCAAACTCTTGGATAAGCAATTTCTCTCCAATGGCAATGAAAGTATTAGAACAAAATATTGATAGGTCAATGGCATATAACATTGAGTTTAATGGAGTAACTGGCTATGAGGTTTTGGATGGATACAAACAACACACTGTATGTTTGAGAAAGAGGTGTAGTTGTAGATCTTGTATGTTGAAGGGAATACCATGTGCACATGCCTTAGCTGCAATGTTGCAAAGACAATATGACCCACAAGATTTCATTCATCCATGTTACTCTAAAGAGAGGCACTTGAAGACTTACTCACATTTCATAAAACCTATTAATATTATGCCAATGTGTCCAGAATAAAAAAAATCCTCTTGTTGATCCACCAGTGATAAAACAAATGTCAGGCAGACATAGAAAGTTGAGAAGGAAAGAGGTTGGTGAAACTAAGGTGTGTGGTAAATTATTTAAAACGGGACTAACTATGACATGTAGTCTTTTACATGTTAAAGGTCACAATAAAAGAAGTTGTCATTTACGAAGGAGTGATGGAGCTGGTTCTACTGCCGGGGAACAGAGGGCTACACCTACTTCAAATGTTGAAGAACCATCAAGTTCAAGAAAGGAAAGGGGAAGACAAAAGGTACATTACTATTTTGTCACTTATTTAAAAAGTTTAATCAACTTAATAATATAATATTTTTTTCCTAATTAGAAGTCAACAAATATTGAGAGTAAGTTGTTGCTGAAAGGGGGAGAGGAAGATATAAAAACACAACTGCAAATGCAAGTGCAACAGGGGTTTCACCTACAACTACTGCACCTCCAACAATTTCAAGAACAACAAGAGCTACAGGAAGTGCATCTAGGGCCTCTCCTAGAACCACTGCACTTCCTACAACTTTAAGAAGAGAACCACATGAAGCAAGTGCATGTGTAAATGGTGTTGGATTATCATCAAGATACAGGAGTGGTAGAGGAAGGGGTAGGGAATTGGGAAGTGCAAGAAAAGGTAGTAATCATCCACTTGAAAGTTGATTTACATTTTTTCAAGGTAGTACAACACAGGGTGTAGACAAGAATACAAATGTTGCACCAAAGGAAACTGCTACTGTCAAGAAAGGAAAGGGTGTTGAAAAGACAACTCAATTTAAAAGTCCAAGAGTCACTGGAATGGGTGTGTTTCAAGCTGAAAATGGTTTCAAAATTGTCACTTTAAGTATTACGATGCATTCATATTGTTTGTTCTCTAGTAACTTGCACATTTGTTCTCTAATAATCTTAGTTCTCAAAATAATTTGTATCTTGGACTGCCAAGTAGCACAATATTAGCGGGATCAAAGAGATCTTTGAGATCAAGTATTGTAACTGGGGATGTTGGTTTCAAACCGACAAATGGATTGAAGTGGAAAGGAAATCAGGCAATCACAACTAGAAGGCTTTAGAAGATTAGAGATCAATCAAGGCTTTCAAACCCAAATGCTTCCTCCTCTTCACAACCTCGACACCCATGGAAACTATAATGAACCTCGACACCCATGGAAACTATAATGTTGATATCAATGGTGTTTTATTAGTACTATTTTGGTGGCCACTATAAGTACTATTATGTTTCATGTTTGAAGGAAAAAGAACTATTCCTATTTTTTGTTATATTTATGTATGAAATAGTACTAAAATTATGGGTACTTATGCAATGTGAAAACTTTTTTTTGCTTATGCTTAGAGATATTTTAAAAAATATACAATCTAATAATATAAGTACATCTACATAGACCATATTTTTAGACTACAGTCGTATTGTCTCATGATCGTATACAACATTCTACACTAATTGTACAAATGAATACACTTGTATATATATATGTATAATAGTATATAACAGGTGTTTATAAGAAATATAATATTTTTATCTATACTTAAACAACAAATACACTAATAAATTGAAGATAATTTTTAAATAAGGCGACTGCATTTTTTCAATCATCACAAGTATTGACACCGATTTTAACACTATGAAATTCATATAAATTATCGAGCTTCTTTAATTTCAAATAAAATGAATTATTTTGAAAAATCCAAAAGTGTCACGAGCTGAGCCTACACTCTGGATGTTGCCGGCACTTGAAGACCATTGTTAGTCCCCAAGCGAACCCTCACCCTTGCTGACTACCAGCGGAAGGCTCACTTAATCATATAAAACTTGAAAACTGAAATAAAATTCATGAACTCAACTTTAGAATCTTTAACTCAAATGAAAAACTTTAAATAAAATAACATATTCAGCTAACCATAAAATAGGCAACTTTAGTTGTTAAAATATTTAACAAAATAAATGCAAAATACAGACTCATTAACTAAATTGACTATCAATGAAGCCTCTAACTGATAAATATGGAAATTGGGACCAGAACCATAACCTCCTAACTGCTGAAAGTAAATGGAATCCTTCAGAAGCAAGGAGGCTCACCATAGCTAAATCGAACTTCATGTGATATCAATAAAAAACTTGTTGATGATCCAATATACATGTGTCTGCATCATGAGAAGATACAAGTCAATTGGCTCAGTATGTGAAATGTACGAGCATCTAAGTGGTATTATAAATCATAACATAAGCTTGATACTTGAATAAAAAGATGGAAACATACTTACCTCTTCTCAAACATGAAACTCAAGGAATACTCAAGAATATTAAAAAATAAGATACTCATCTCAGAGATTAAATATTGAACCCAAAGATGTGATAATCAACTTAGGATATTCAACTCAAAGTATTCAACTCATGATACTTAACTGAACTCATTTCAATATAAAGCAGTTTAAAACAAGTGATATAAAAAGAAAAATTGTTCAAAAATATGATGTTAATGCAAGAAAATAATATCATAAAAATATATAATGCTCCCTCTCAATGTCTACTTGTAAAACTCATAAATGAAGTCTCATACCCCCATTCATACTAAGAAGAACCCATCGAGGAACCCTGTAATAGCACCTTTGTGAGAGTTTCTTGAATCGCCAACTATCACTATGATCCTAAGTGATGATACAACGTCTTACCATCCTACACCTTGCCATCTGTATAAGACCTAACTCAATTTAGTGGATCCACTATCTCTCCTTATGTCATCATCTAAAAAGTATGACACGTCAATTCCCATGTTGGCTACATAGTTTACAAAGAGACTTGAGTTAATATGAACTCTCATATCCACATCGGTGCTCAATACTACTCCCAAAAATGTAGTTTAGCTCATACTTTTAATAAAACGTCCTTCCTTTGGGTTGAGAAAATTTATTGAACCCGTTAGCTTTAAAAAGCTCCTCTTTGGAATCAATGTTCCTCTTTTAGTTCAAACTCTTTTGGAACTTCTAGTTTCGCTCTTTACTCAAATGTGAAACATTTGTAAAACTTTAGGAAATACTTAGTTCACTTATATATTTTTGAGTATTGAACTTAAATCTTGCTCTTTACTTAACTTGAAACTGTAACTATTAGAGAATACTTAGTTCCCGTATAGCTTTTAAGGAATGTACTCAACTTTTACTCTTTACTTAACTTGAAACTTTAACTCTTGGGGAATATTTAGTTCCCTTATAGATTTTCGAGAAATTAACTCAACTCTTTACTTGACTTGAACTTTAAGTCTTTAAAACAAAGTAAAAATACTTGTGAAAGACAGTAGAAAATTTTACCTTGACTTACTCTTAACTTCTACACTTGACTCTTAACTTCCTTGAATTGAAATATGGATTCAAGGTTCATGATCTCATGTTTATGGATCATTTCATGATTTTCAACATGGAGGGTTCATGCGGAATTATTAGCATGAACTACTCAACTCGAGAATTAAAAGGTACTTCTTAACTCAAGATTGATCGACTTATAGGGTTTATGCGGATATATGGACATGAACAATTTCACTTGAACATATAAGTAACGAAATGGAAATTATTTATATGAATTTTTTAATTATCTTATTTACTTCCTCAAAACTTAGTTCAAATTAATGCTGGATCTCAAAAAATTACAATTGAACTTAAAGACTTTGTTGAACTCTACTCTTAACTGTCTCTTGAATGTGAATTATGAATTCAAGAGTTATAGTTAATGATATGAAGGATCCAGGTGATATTGTAGACTCATGAATACATAGTCTTCACTTTTATACTCACTTGTTTGAGTCTTAAAATAAGTTAGTAGAAGTTGCGGAAGACTCCTCAAAAGGACTTTCTTAGAACGTTTGAAAGTATTCTCAAAACACATCTCTAACTTGAATTTGAATTATGAATTCAAGGTTATGATCATGTTAGGACTGATTTTAGGTGTTTAGAAGTAGCTTATATTAGTAAGAATCGAAAAGGAGTGAAGGTGCACTTCAAACGAACTCAAATGGAGCTACCGAAAATAAACTTGACTGGGGAGACGACCCTTGGGCTCTGGCTGGCACGGAACCCCAGCCCTTGACAGACAGAGATAGGTTTGGGGCGCTCTAGGAGGCGCACCGCGCTAGGCCCCACCCCAGAATTTCTACCGAGCACTTTTGCTCGTTTTCTCACCCTTAATCGCCTAAATTCGACCAATCACTTGGATTCGATTACTTAACTTAACTACACTCTAATCTACTAGAAAAAAATACTAAAACTACTCAATTTGATCTCAATAAATCATCATAACTCCACAACAACAAGATTTAGAATGATCTTCAAGAACTCATCAAGAACCCTAAT